GGCCCGCGATCAACTCGAGTATTGCAACCTGGCTGTCCATCGCCAGCGCCGGGCCTACGAACTTGTCCGCGAGTACAACGCACTGAAGATTTCGCGAGACGAACGCCGAAATTCATCCCTGCTGGACGCCATTCACAAGCTCCCTCAGTTTACCGTTGGCGGGTGGGCTTGGGTGTACAACACGGCTGCTACAATTCGACAGGGTGTGCAGAAGGACACGGACCAACAGGTGCTCAAGGCCAAATTCGCACTCTCCTGGACCTGGCCCTACAAAGTTCTTGCAGTGGGTCCCACCTCTGCCGACGCCACTCCGGACGGCCGCCCGTTGGCGCATAAACTCCTCTACCTGGACCTGCCTTCCGTTCTTTCCGGCCCGGAAGCTCGTTGTCGCGTGTCTGTCCTTCGTTGCAAGCCCTGTCGCAATCCGTACGAGACGGACGACTTGCCGCAATCTCTGCCCGCCGAGCTTTCACGTTATGTTCTGCACTCCTTCGGAGATAAATGTCCACCTTTCCACGTCATCGCGGATGATATGTCTGTGCCTGTCGGGCGCCTCGAGGTCGACTACATCTCGGGACACAACTGGTGCGGGGCCGCAGCGGCGTTCTCGCTGTCCTGTACCAGACGCATTGGGTAGGCCTGACAACTCCTTCATGGGAACGGGAATCCGACCTTGATCTATTCCGTCGACACATCCTCCTGAACTGGTCCCGGGAGGCCTGCCAAAGCAAGCAGGGTTACTGTACATATCGAGTGGCTCGGACTCGCGCGGCACAGCGGGAGCTAGCCCGGAATCGTGGAGAACGCCATTTGCCTCCTGGGGCTGATCTTGTGCTTAATGCGACTTGGCTTCGCCGTTTCAGCACTTCGCCCCTCCCTGTTGGCGCGCGACTGTGGTACAAGGCCCGTGATGGATTGTGGTGGACCGGACGTATTGGTGCTCATCAGGGCGGCTCGTACATCGTTCGATTTTTGGATGACCCAGGCCCAAGCGTTCTGCCTCTGCCTGCGCATCTCTACTCCACCGCCTTGGACGCCGTCTGTGGATCATGGTGTTTGGAGAAACATCGTTCGCGCCCTCTGGGCGACAACCGTGGTCGCACTCCGCTCCTTGCTGACTCCTTACCGTCGGCTGTTCCCACAATTTCTTTTTAGCGTCGTCTTTTTCATATACCAATCGGCCTATTTTGGTCTTTTGTGCCATCCTTCTCGCCGACGTTTTGCTTTTGTTTACTTTTTCTGTCACCTTCCGTTTTGTTTTATCTTGCTTTGGTTTCTGTGTTGTCTCTTTTCTTTCCTTGGCTTGTTGTGTTTTGAACGCTGGGGCAACGCCGCCTCGAGACACGAGGTGTCGAGTGATCCTTCTTCCTTGTTGCCTGCATTCATCTGAATCAGTGAACTGCCGCGACCTGGATGTCCGTTCTCTCTCGCCTTTGCTTAAATTGTTTGTTTGTTGTTGGTCTTTGGTTCTCTCAACAAGCTCCCACCGAAGTTTCGTCGGTGTTGTCTGCCTCTGAAAACTTGGAAAAAGAGTCCCCCCAGTTTCGTCGGTGATGTGTGCCGGGACACTTGGACACCGAGTTCCCCGCGTTTTCCTGGTTCGCCTGTTTGCCAACTAATATTGTCTTATTTTTTATTTGTTTTTAGTTCCATCGTGCCGCAGAAGTGTCGCATACGCTTGGTGCTTCGGGATTCCATCCCGTGGCGTCGCCTTCTCCCATGGATTTTCGTCGTCACCCACACTTCGTTCTGCTTCGTCTCCATCATCGCCACCTTCGGGCGACGCCTTCGTCACAGTAGCGCCCCTGAGTCGTAGTCTTGTTGTGTGAATCTCTACGACTTTGTGTTTTATGCCTTTGAATGATGTGTATCGCCAGCGAACCATGGCGCAGTTCGTCGACCGCCTCTCTTGCAATAATCGCTTGTGCTTTGCATCCTTGGTCCTCAATAGGTCTTGCCCCTGCCGTCTCCTTATACGTGTTGGGTACCCTGGCACGCTGGCCATCGTTCTCCGTGCCTTTGCCTGTCGTTCTTTTCTCCTGCCCTTCGTTAACGTCCTAGATTGCGTTGGGTTTTCCCTTTGCGTCGCGTCCAGTATCAAAGGCCGTATTCGTTCGGAAAATTGTTTGGGTTTTGAGTTTCGTCACCGTGTTTTGGACTCGCTCGGGTAGTCACCCTCATTCCTCCAGCGGTGATACGCGCGGGTGCGCGTAAAAGAGTGGTGTGTGGCGTCTGGATGTTGTTTTTTTTTTCCTGTCGTCGTCTGTTCAGGATGATAGTTGCTCTGCCGCAATATATATTCTTCGTAGCTTTATCCCTTCAAGCGTTGTCATTGAGATGTCGATGTTCCGCCTCGTGACCGTTCGCATTCATCATCTCAATGATGGTGTGGGGGATCGATTCGGGATATTTCTACAACTCACCCTCCTTTTGGATGTTTGGTGAAGAGTCATATCTTCGATTCATGATCATAAATCATCAGCTAAAATCTAAATTATGCTTCAGACTAGGATTTGAGCATTGATTTGAGTATAGAATCTGCATATATGATATTCAGGGTGGGCTAGTGTTAAGGAGTGTGGCTGCTAGCATGGATAGGGTACATCTTATTGTTGATAGGATGCGGGTCGGTCAGGAGGTATACCCTTCTGACCCCTACCCCCTTAGAATTGTCTACTCTGTGTACCCCCTGAGATGAAGTCGGATCCCCACTTCATCCCAGACCTTTGCTGATCGTCTCTCAGCAATAACAAGCAACTTTCCCATCTCAACGTGGTCGTGGACAAGCGTGTCAACGACAGAACCTTCATCTATCTCTAGGAGCAAACCACCGCCCACGGCATCACTCCTTGAACATGTTCATATATGTGCTTCTACTTCGATTGTCTCTCCGCTATCCGGGGCAAATGAATTGAAGTACAGTCGACCCCGCTTTAAAGATGCACCACGTTTCCCCCTCCAAGAAATGTCTTTAACGCGGAGAAGTGTCTTTAAAATTCCGGGGCCACTAATGCACCATCCCCGGGGCCAATGAAGGCGAAACGTCTGTATGTCAAAAGGTGCGCTTTCGCAGCAGAAATGCGACCACAAGAGGTGTTGTTTGAAACCTACGACACAAGGTGAATTGAAGTTCGCAACCACAGCTGCTATTGTTCTGCAATACATACTTGCAAACCATGGTTTGAATTTCCCCGAACTGTACCACCACACGCTGAAAGCAATGGTGTTCTACGACCTACCTACTAGACTACGCATCATGTACACGACGGTAGTGCGCTGGTGTTGATATGGGCTTAATAATTTGCTGAATATATATTTTTAAGGCGTTGTCCTCCCCGTGATTATCTTGCCCAAGATCTCGATACCGCGATACCGCACCTGAGAAATATCGAAGGTTGTTCAACGACACTCGCACTAGGAAAATGTACGTTACGCAGAACACAGAGACCAAAAATGTCGGGAACGCACAGCGACAAAGAGGACACCGCGCCTCCCAAAAGGTCAAAACGAGCACTCTCTCTGCTGTCCGTGGCCTTCCTCTCCGATGCCCCGACCACAAAACGCGTGCATGGGTCGCCCGCACGGACACTGATGAACCAGTGACACCAGTGCAGATTTGGACTGGCACGTCGGCTCGCCGCATGGCTTCAAGCCGTCAGCAGATGTACCGCTAGCAGATGAAATGAATCTTTCCATACACCCACACGCAGTGTGCGGCTGCAGCAGACCG